TTCCATTTTAGGAGCGGAATGTGTGTCTGTATCAGCCACCTGAGGAGCAATAACCGTTAGTGCAACCCTTGATAGGACATTACAAATTTCATGTGGGGAGTCACAGTCAAAATGAGAGGCACTCACCACCTGGAAATTAGCCTTAGCATCGTGGAGACCACAGAGTGCCCAGACCCAAGCAGCAGCAAGCCTCAACCTTGGAATCTGGAAGTGGAACCTCTGTAGATAACATTTTTAAAAAACTCTTATTTTATACTGGTTATTTACAAAGTTCATATACATTGTTTTTCACATGGGACCTTTCCCCTTTCTTTCATACTCTCATTCCCTCCAACCATCAAATTGTGAACCCTGTTATTAATGCCACTCCTCCATCCACTAAGTGAACTAACTTGGTTAGATTGCTTTTGGTAAGATTGTCATTTTCACAATATTGAGTTTTAATTTTCATGATATTGAATCTTCATATCAATGAGCAGGGAACATTTCTCTATTTTGTCTATTTCTCTATTTTGGTCTTCTATTGTGTCTCACAAAAATATTCAGTCGTTTTCTTTGTATAGGTGTTTTGGGTCTCTGGTTAGGTTCTCTCTCATGTATCTCAATTTGTGGTTTGCTATTGGCACAGGACAGAGCAGAGTTTAGGGCTGTTGTACATAGGGTCACTATGAGTCGCAAGTGACTCGACGGCACATAGCAACAACAACAACAACATTGTAAATAGTTTTGCTTTCTTGGTTTCTTTGTCTGAGTTCTCTTTGTTAGTGTAGAGGAATCCCAGTGAGTTTTGGATACTGATCTTGTATCCTGCCACTTCAGTAAATTGGTCTACTAGCTCTAGCAATCTTTTTGTTGAGTCTTTGGGGTTTTCTGCCTACCCTATCATGTCATCTGCATATTATGACAATTTAACCATTTAGGTATATTTTAGTTCTTTTTCTTGCTGTATTGCCCTAGTAAGTACTTTTAATATGAAATTCAATAGAAGTGGCAACAGTGGGCATCCTTTTCTGATCCCTCTTTGCAAATAAAATGCTTTTAGTCTTTCACCATTGAGAATTATATTGGCTCTCATGTTTGCATATATACTTTCCAATATGTTTAGGAAATTCCTTCTATTCCAATGCTGCTGAGTGTCTTAATCAAGAAAGGGTTTTGGATTTCGTCAAATGCCTTTCTGCATCAATTGCTAATACCATATGGTTCTTGTAATTAGCTTTGCTAATGTGGTGGGAATTATGTTGTTTTCCTTTTATTGAACCATCCTTGCATACCTGCTTTGAATACCACTGTTTTGAATAATTTTTTGATGTGTTTTTGGATTCTATTGTCTAGGATTTTGTTGAGGACTTTTGTATCTATGTTCATTAAAGATATTAGTCTGTTATGGTCTTTTCAAAGACAAATAAAATGAAAATGTGATTGGAATACTATGCAGTTTTGTGTTCCTCCAGTAAAGTGGAATGATACTGAATGGAAATGAATCCTGTTAATTTCAAAGATGATATACAGAAATTACATGCTCAGATTCATTCTATTTTGATAAGTAATCAGATTATTTTAATAACAGATATTCTGCAAGGAATAATGAAGGAATATCCATCTTGAATCCTTCTGATCATATGGAGATTTTTGGAAGTGTTTTTATGAGTTTATTTTGCTTGTTTGTGTATAAAGGATGGAGGGAACAAAAACAACCAAGAATGAATCAAAGAAGAGAAGAAGCCATGCTCATCTAGATGACAACATAATTATGATAAAAACAAATGAGGGGAATGTGGAAAGCCAAATTTAATACCAAATATTATATGATAAACCATATGCTTAATTAGGAATTGAAGGAATTACAAAATATTAGTTGAAATTTCTCTTGTGACAGATCACACTGCTTCCTGCTAGAGTCCCTCTGCAGAGGGAGAGAGAATACATGTGAACTACTTCCTTCCTGAGCTAAGCATTATGCCCACAATAGAGAAAAGCTCGACTTCATTTACAAGATAATTCTCTTTATTATTTACTTCCTGTGATTCTCAATAACTACACAGAAATACGTGCCTTGTGGCTTTTCAGTTGTTTTGAACTGCTGGCCCCCTGTTTTTAACACTCTCTGTTTTATCTCACTTTTGGTGTTCTGTCTCATTTCTTTTTTTACTTTATGCTTGGTCTGCAACAAGGAACAGATGCTGTATTTTGTAATTCATGCCTTTTCTGCATTAATTGCCAGGATCAAATGGTTCTTGCTATTAAATTTGTGAATGTAGTCAATTACATTGATAGGGTTGGGGTTTTTTCCATGTTGAACCATCCTTGCCTACCTCTTAGGAATCCCACTTGGTCATATGATTAATTTTTAAATTTTTATTTGCTTTTGAATTACATCATCTAGGATTTTGTTAAGAATGCATCTATGCTCATGAGAGATACTGGTCTACAGTTTTCTGATAGTATTTTTTTGTCAGGTTTTAGTATTAGAGTTATGCTTGCTTTGTAGAATGTCTCTGGGAGTGTTCCTTCTTTTTCTATTTTTTAAAATAACTTAATTAGAATTGGTGATAAATCTTCTCTGAATGTTTTGTAGAATTCAGCTGTGAAGCCATCTGATCCAGGCTTTTTGTGTGTGGAGGGGGGAATTCTAGTCTTTTTATGATCTACTCAATTTCTTTTTTTGTCATAAATCTACTCAAGTCCCTCAGTCCCACCTCCCCACAAGCAATGGAGTGTTTGCACTCTCGGCATAGAGCCTTCCCTCCTCTTTTCTTCTGCAGCTTAGTGTCTTCCTTTGTATCTGGTAAGGCAGGAGATCAGGATCCTTAGCTAAAACAGCTTGTTTACATAGGCTTGGCTTGCAGGTCAGCCCTCTGTTGCAAAGAGTTAAGAAAATTCTTTCCTCTGCTTGAAGTTCTGTATACTAAAGTCTCTTGTTCTACTAGGCCCCTGGGATGGCCCCACATTAGCAGAAGCAAGGACCCCCAGATGGAGAGACCTACAACCCCAGGGATGCCTCAGTTCTGTCTACCCACAAACAATGAAGAGTCAATATGTAACTTCTTGTTTATTTTATTTTATTTCTTTATTTTCTTTGTTATACTACTTGTAAGATGTTCTTTAGAGGCAAGGACTGAGAAACCTTGTCTCATATACTTTGAGCATGTTGTTAGAAAGGGCCTGTCCTTGGAAAAAGATAATCATGTTTGCAAAAGTGGAGGCTCAGCAAAAGAGAGAACGACTCCCAACAAGATGAATTGACATCGTTACTGTAATAATAGGCTTAAGTGTATTAGATATAATTATGATGTCACAGCATAGATAATAGTTCAGATCCATCACTGTTCATAAGGTTCTTATGCGTCGTAGTGATGCAAAGGCATCATCTCACAATAAAAACAATTTCCTAAGTCATATTTAGAGTTCATATAAACATAAGATTATAAGCAAATGACATAAATGAATTCACCATCCCAGAGAAAATTTGTTTTAAGACTGGTAAGCATACTAACATCTCCATTACTATGTTGTTGATATTATTAGGCACCATCAATTCTAGCACAAGCCAAATAGATCATTCTGAGATCCAGAATGATGGATTGTTTGTTTCTTTATTACTCATACTGTACTAGCTCCTTTATTTTTGAGATGTCAAAGAAATAAATATATCAATATTTATACATACTCAAAATACTTAAAATTTACAGCTTTAAAATTAATTTTGTATTGTTGTTGTTAAGTGCTATAGAGTTGTAGGCAAATCTTTGGGAACCTATGAATTAAAGTCCTCAACACTTGTGTGACTTTCATCCTTTCTCCAGGTTCATAGGGTTTCTGGACGCAAGCTATTATGAAAGTGGATGCCGCTCCTGCTTCCAAGCTTGTTTTAATCAGGAGCTTCACCAAACACTGTCTGCCATGGGTAACCATTAACACATTTGACACATTGGTGTCATAGTGTGAATTCAGCTTCACCACAACCACTAGTTATCTCTGTACGGCAAGTGGACACAACAGGGCTATATGACCTAGAAGAATTTTTATTAGATATTGAAATATCTCTAGTTTGGTTAATATCATGAAAGTAATTTTTCTGATGGTAGTTGTCATTTAGAGTTTCTAAAAGAGAAGAAGGTGATAATCCATTACTGCTTAATCACTTGCCAAGTTCCCAGAGATTGTTAACCTTTACAACTTATTGGTTGATGAAAGTACCAATTGCTATTTTCCCATTAGAGTAAAATAATTTATGAAACCCAGGTTTAAAATTATAAAATTAATATATAATTAAAATGATATATTCACATCTATTTCTCTTCTTAGATATGACAATTATGTAGATGTGCTAACAGGCTGAAAGAGGGAAGGAACAGTGGAAATATTGGGCAGGTTCTCAATTAGTTGCCTTCTTACTTCTGAAAATGTCATGAGATTCTTGCAGCAGAATTTGGTAGGCCTTTTAATTAGTAGTCCATCTACTAATTCAAAGTTATTTGGGGGTTTTCCCCCCTATTAAAGAAACACAAAATAAAGCATACTCAAAAGTATTAATTACATGCCACAATGGGGATGGAATGGTGGGCGGGAGTTGAAGGGGGGAGGGTGTAAGTTGCACAACAATGAATGAGTATTTTTAAAAAGGAAAGAAAGTGAACTGGGGGAGGGGGAAGGGAAAATGAGGGAGGAAAATATGCAACAATTAATTAATGAAAATCCAACTTTGCTGTAAATTTTCATTAAAAATCACAACTAATTTTTTTAAAGAAGACAGACAAAAAGTTCTGAAACAAAGACCCTCTTGAACGAACATTATCTACTCACAGGGTAGGCTGGTGAACTAGCACAATGAATGTGTGTGAAAAGAAAAAAAAAAGAATAATTTTACTTAACATGCCACGATCTGACGTTCTAGTAGAAAATGACCTTCTGATAACTTTTCCATATTTTGCTACAGTTTGAGAGTCCTCTCTTATAACTTATCTTCAGCTTATTTCTATGCATGTGATTCCTCACAGTATTCCAACGTGGAAAGGCAGCCTGTGACAGCATTGGAGAAAATCATGGAGTCAAGTTTTACTGGCCCTCAGTCCATCCCAGAAATCCCTTCTCCTGAGAGAGGAAGCCAGTCTTTCAAACATCACAGGTAGGAGTAGCTAATCATGGAGTGGGTTGGGGTGGGGTGGGATATGTGAATTTATGCTTATATAATAGACAACATGTTAATGATGGAATAATACAGGAGATAAGATCCATCATGCTTCTCCTATACTTTTCCCAAAATATATCACTGCAGGTATACCAAAGATGTCAGAGTCGTTTGTCCAATAGCACTACTTCTATAGAAAGCACAAAGTAAAACCTATTAAAACTATAGTCAATGAATGAAACTACCACATTAAGAAAACACTATTAAACCATATATTGTTGATTGCCATCAAGTTGAGGTTGACTCATAGCGACTCTATGAACAAAAGACCTAATGCTTTTCCATAGCTATCATTGTTTCTCCAAGTTCATAGGGTTTCCAGAGGCATGTGGTTTAGGAAGTGGATGCTACTCCTGCTTCCCAACTTGTTTTACAACTGAGGGCTACACCAAACACTGTCTACAATGGGAAACCATTCTAGTATTTGATATTCTCATGGAACAAGGTTCAGTACCATAGCAAAACCCAGGTTATCTCATATAGCACATTGGAAAAGAGTGATGTGCAAAATGGAAAAATGTTCCTCGAGATATAACAGCACTAGTCTCATTTAGCAGTGGTTAAGTGTTGTTGAGTCGAACATGACTCATAGTAAGCTTTGCACAAAAGACCTGAACCCTGTTCTAGGATTAGTATCATTTCTGTACAATTATAAGAGAGTTTGTAGAGTTTCCAGAGGCAACTAGTTTAGGAAGAATATGCCACTCCTGCTTCCCAACATGAATCAGTCTGGAAGCTCATCCAAGCACTGTATATAATGGATAACCATTATGGCATTTGACACAACTATGGGATAGTGTTCAGCATCACAGCAACTCCAAGTTGTTCAGTACACAAATAGACAAATGACTGGTGTGTCTTTTAAAGACTATTCTCCTAAAATTCATAAACTTGGATAAAATACTTTAAAATACAGGATTTTAAAGCCACAGCCTCAAGCAGGTCTCCCCCCTTAACCTTAGTTTCAAGCTAAAGGGGCACTAGTTGCAATGCCATGACTGAGATTTCACACAAAGATAACTTTCCAGGAAACTATGTCTGATAAATTTTCTTCTTCAACTGTACAGAATTCTATTATCAACAAGGTTACAATCTTTTATAACTTGATCATATAATTTCCTGTCTTGTAAAGAAAGTCAAAAGCAAATATTTTCATAAAGTTCATGTCATTCTGAAACTGAATGAGCTTGTGGCATCTCCTATTCCACACCATATGTTTTACACATCAGAAACTTCAAGCTTTGCTTCAACGATTTAGATCCTCCCAGAAGAGCTGTGGGTGAGCATTAACATTTCTGGTAAGTATATTCCTTTTCTCCTGGACACAAGAGCCTACTATTTGGTCCTAAAAGCCTTCTGAGGTCCCAACTATTCTCACTATTTCTTAGTTGTTGGAATGGACGGAAAACCTCATAAGCAGTTCCTTACTTCACCTCTGCCTTGCATGTGGACTTCTGAGTTGTAAAACAACCCAGTGGTAGATGGAATTTGTTCCAGGACTTAAGAACAGTAAATGACATAGCTGAGCCTCTACATCTTGTGGTTCCTCACCTCTACACTATAATAGACAAAGTGCTAGTCAATAGGCCTTTTATTGTAAGAACCACCTTCCCTCTGTAACTTGATTTATGCCACTATTACAACCTCTACTTGGAATATTATTGCTTTTTAATATTTGATTCATGTACTTTTAACTTTTTAGTTAAATTTGTGTCTTCTAGGCTGCAACACTTCCATGATACATCTTCAAGGATATGAACATGTACGGCTAAGCACAATTGATAACAGTGCATCTAAATTCCAAAATCAATCTCCATAATAGTCTATGTGTTTCCTATTGCCAAAGGGGCCCTTTAGAGTAGTGAGAGAAGATGTTCACCCTGAAACCCACAGTGTCCCTTTCAGCAGGAAGTAGCTAAGAGAATACGCCATCCCCTTTTCCTTATGAATCAGGGTGAAGTCTCTCTCAGGGAGGAGTGATAGGGAATGGCAAAGGACCCACTGACAAAGGAGATTAATCAGAACTGGTTTTGACAAGAACTGTGGCAATTGGACAATTAAAACAGACAATCAAGGGGGGGGGGAAGAACAAACTGGGGAGGAGGGTAGAGAAAACAGTGCAACAATGAATGAATGAAAACCCAAAATCTCTGTAAATGTTTATGAAAATTAATAAAATATAGAAGAAAAAAAAAGAAGCTTCAAGCTTGAAGACTTAATAGCCTTTTATTCTAGATCAAATGGCAATTTGAAACTAATACTTAAACAAATGAATGTGTATCTAAATTCATATCCTATTCCTTAACGGAAATTTTATGAAGATGCAGTCTTTTCTAAATTATCACTTAGAAAATATGCTACTTGAAAATTATTATATTAAGTTTATGATAAAAGAAAATTATGTAAATATGATACTTGAAAATAAAACGTTAAAGTTACGGTTATGAATAATACTATGAAAAAGAAAAGACAAAATATATTCCATAGCACAAATAGGCATTGCACAAGGAAGCCACTTTTTCATCTTTTCTTAGTCACATGAAAACAGTCCGTTCCATGGCTATATTTACTTTCGGGTGGTGATTTTTATTCTCATTTTAAACTAGCAGAGTGAGATACTAAGAATTTGTCAAACTTAAAACAACAACCAAAAGCACAAAGAAACCATAATTAGAATATCTTGGTCTCAGCAACGGAAATATACTTGGCTCTTGAAAATTGTTTTATCTATTCATTACAAGTTTTACAATTGTGACATTTAGAGATACCCCCCTCCCCGTGGATAGAGAAATCAATTTTATTGAGTTCAGTGGAAGTTAATCAAGGAAATAGGCTCTAAATTACCAGACTTAAAAAAGTGAATATTTTCAACAAAACTATTTTTCCTCTGCTGATTATAATATATATTAAAGTAATATTCCATCTAGTCAAATAAACTAAAATAACAGTGTAATGTTTCTCTAGTATTATATTGTACCATCACAGTTTAAAGCTAAAAATATTTTGGTGAAACAATTTAGAAAATAGAATTTCTAAAGTATTTGTATCACAAAGCTATTTTTCCCATTGTTTGTCACTTTGTATGTCCCTTCCTAAATTTAGTGGGGCTTCTTTGGTTATTAAGAGCCACTGAGGTCGAATTAGAAAGTGTTGAAGTTAATCTGCTTTTAGTTGAGTTCAGTTACACTGGATTATTTGTTGACCTCAATTGTGTCTTGATAGATAAATATAATCTGGGTAAAGTATGCTTTTACAACTTTAAAGAGATCTAATGACTCCGTGTGTGTGTGTGTGTGTGTGTGTGTGTGTGTGTGTGTGTGTGTTAGGCTGCTGACCAAAAGTGTGGCTGCTTATGTTAGTAGGAGAAAGAGGAACAGTTTCCTCCAGTAAAAGTTTATAGCCCTAGAAATCCTATAGAGGATCAGAATGTGTTGAGATCAACTTGATGGCAATGGGTTTGGCTTGTTTGGATTAGAATTTTGTAAATTAGTGTTTAATGTAGCATAGCTTTTATTGGTAAAAATATTCAGTAGATTTAAATATTTTCATGATTGATAACCCAGTATGCAACCTTGAAACTGTTCTACAATTCCAAAATTCCCCTAAATTAGGGAGTCTGAATTGGTAGGTATGAAACTGTACCTTAAATTAGAGAAATAGTAACAAGAAAAGAGAAAGACATAAGAGGTATCCAAATTGGCAAAGAGGAGGTAAAATTATCTCTCTATGCAGATGATATGATAGTACAATTAGAAAACCCTAAAGACTCAGCAAGAAAACTATTGGACATAGTTGACCAATTCAGCAAAGTACCAGGATAAGATCAACATACAAAAATCAGTTGGATTTCTCTACAGTGACAAAGAGAATACAGAGCTGGAGCTAAGACAAACAATACATTTCACAATAGCTAATCACAAGGTAAAATATTTGGGAGTAAATATAACTAGAAGCACAAAGGATATATTCAAAGAAAATTTCAAAACATTACTACAAGAAACAAAAAGAGACCTGGAGAAGTGGAAGAATATCCCTTGCTCATGGATAGGAAGACTCAATATTGTGAAAATG